TGAATCTCTGTAATAATTATTCTATGAAAAAGCAAGTGGGGTAGTGCCTTTGCTGTTTGCGTTATGCAGAGCTCACTGACTTGTCAGTTTGAGCACTCTGGCAAGGTACGTTCGGGCCTGATTGGAAATTTTTATTTCCATTGCTATCAGGTTCGGCCTCATTTCCTCTGTGCTGCGCTGATGAGTTCAAAAAGAACGAAACAGCATGCTGTCCGCAGATTGAGTATTTCGCTCCTGCTCTTGTAGCTGTTGAGCACTCTTGCGTGGGGTAGCGCCTTTGCTGTTTGCGTTATGCAGAGCTCACTGACTTGTCAGTTTGAGCACTCTGGCAAGGTACGTTCGGGCCTGATTGGAAATTTTTATTTCCATTGCTATCAGGTTCGGCCTCATTTCCTCTGTGCTGCGCTGATGAGTTCAAAAAGAACGAAACAGCATGCTGTCCGCAGATTGAGTATGAAAAAGCACATGTATCACTTGCGGAAAGTCCCCGTGCCAACACTGTAGACCCTGCAAGACTTGTAGTCATGCTCCAGCAAAGAGTGGCTTACCCAAAGTCAATTCATTAATTAGAATTCTGCTGTGGAATTGATGAGACTTGCCACCCAGTGAAAAAACCATCAAATTATTGCTTTACAAAAGCTAACAGTCATCTATCAAGTTGGTTGTTCCAACGAGGAACACATGCCTCTGGCAGAACGTGACACTTGACTGACGACTGCCATCCGGAGCACACAAGGCCTGGCTCTCAACTTCTGTTTAGCACAATTAAATGAGCGACTGTGACTCACGCTCCTACCTGGGGCTTCACGAGGTGTTTGTCGCGCTAGACACAACGCGCCTCTGTACGGTTGTATCCCTGGTGATCGTTTGGCCTGGAGATCAGTATAATAAGTGTTATATGTGGTGCTTTTCAAGCACAATCTACCTCGGCCAACTGAAGCTCAACTGATGAGGGGTGTATTCCGCGAAACCCTACTACGTATTGAGCAGGGAGTGATGCTTTCTTGCAGTTTTGCCGAGTGGAAGGTGCGACGTGCTCCTTGTGTGCTCAGGATTGCAGTTGTGAGTCAGTCAAGTGGTCAAGTTCGCCAAGAAGCGTGTGTTCCTCGTTGGAACAACCATTTTCATGACTAATTTCTCGAAAGTCGCAACTAACTTCTAAGTTCGTATCAGTTACTTACCCGTATATTCATTATTGCAGTATCTAGTGTTTTGTTGCCAAAGCAGGACCGAGCATCCAACCCGACATGGCTGCTTTAGGGCACAGAACACCATTACAGTGTGTGTGTGTGTGTGTGTGTGTGTGTGTGTGTGTGTGTGTGTGTGTGTGTGTGTGTGTGTGTGTGTGTGTGCGTGTGTGTGTGTGTGTGTGTGTGTGTGTGTGTGTGTGTGTGTCTGTGTGTGTGTATACCATATTCGCGAGGTTATTGCCCCTGAGGTACTATTTTTTCAACGTCATCACATATGGGGCACTGTTCAAGAGAGGGTACAGTTTATTTTCAATGCTTGTACACAACATAAAAGCAACGAAAGCAAAAAAAAGAGCCTAAAGTGTACTGTAAACTATCCCGAACCAACAGAAACGGCCACAAGACCTGCTTCTTTGATCCTGAAGCCACCAGTGCAATGCCATGGACAAGAACACCAGCAAAAGAACACCAAACTTGCACAAGCGCTTGTTTGCAAGCCTGGGGGTGGGGCACTATTCAAGACAGGACTGTACTTTTTCAGTGGCTCTTAGAGACTGGGGCACTATTAGAGATAGGGCACTATTAGAGATAGGGCACTATTAGAGACTGGGGCACTATTAGAGATAGGGCACTATTAGAGATAGGGCACTATTAGAGATAGGGCACTATTAGAGATAGGGCACTATTAGAGATAGGGCACTATTAGAGATAGGGCACTATTAGAGATAGGGCACTATTAGAGATAGGGCACTATTAGAGATAGGGCACTATTAGAGATAGGGCACTATTAGAGATAGGGCACTATTAGAGATAGGGCACTATTAGAGATAGGGCACTATTAGAGATAGGGCACTATTAGAGATAGGGCACTATTGAAGAGAGGGCTCTAATCTCGGGAGTACGGTTATACCGTAATTCAAAATGAGACGACCGACATGGGTAACCGTATTGATCCTTGTGCTACATAGCGCATACTCCAAGGTTGTAATATATCTTAAATTTATCAGAAATTAGAATGCACAACGGTCTTTATAACTATATAGTCATGTACAGTATAATCAAGCTTATGTGAAATGTCCCCCTTTCAATGCAATTTCTTTTAGTGCAGGGATCTGTAACCTGCCCAGACAAGGGCGTAATTGATCATGAACTCTCAGTACCTTCGTCGATTTCCCAGCCTCAAACACCATCGCTGATGGAGCTGAAGAACCAATATCTTTACACTAACAACAAATGGAAATTCAAACTGGAGTGCTCTCTTGCCATACAAAAGGTAGTTCTCCGCATGAATGGCACGTGCGCATTCCGTCTCGTTGGATACAGGGGCCAAAATGTACACAATTCTTTGACAATACACCTACTCATGAAGTCAGAGATCGTTAATCGGACGACACATGGCTTACAACAAGAGGATTTTTATTTTCATGATTTGCTCATGAAGGAGTGCAACTGCAACCGAAGTCAGGGCCCAACTATTGACATTGGCATTTTCAGTGAATCCAAGGAAAAATGTGACGTTGAAGCTGTATCTGAGCCAGGATATCACTACGAATTCACCAGTGGAGCAGATCTCTGCTACCATTCACCTCCGACAGTGCACCACATCACCATGATACCTAATGGAAACCTTCACATCACAAGTAAGCTCTATTTGCATGCTGAAAACAATTTTCACGGTCGATGTTGCAAATTAATTTCTACAATATCAAGTATCAAGTTGATACTTCATACCGTTGAAATTGATTGATTTATTCTGGATTCCCCAGAGGCTGGAAGGCATAAACATGAAGGCAAAGCATAACACAACATGATTGATGCATATATTTATTGTTGAATGCGGTGGTGGTGGCTGTGGCGTCTGTGGAGGCCGCGCGGAGAGTTGTGAGTTAAGTCTGGTGACAACTTGACAATACAGTCTACCTACAATTACAGCTTGACAATACAGTCTAAGTACAATCGGAAGGAGCAAAGCAACGTACTTCCCAGCTTGGGACGCATTGTCAAGTTATTACGAGTACTTCGAAGTATTTACTGATCTTGTCATCATTCTCTAACAGTGGATATTCTTAGTTGCGTGGGACATACTTCAGTAGTTTGTGCAGCTGGAAGGCTGTTGGTTTGCATCAATGTCTCGTCATACAAGTAGAAATTCACGACGAAGCAGTTGTGCACTCCAGGATTTCAGGTACATGTATGCATGCATTTCATGCAGTTGGATAATTCAGAATTGATTTGGGGCACAGCCGTGGCTTTCCAGTACTTGAAAAAATAATGGACGACGAAACCGAGCCTGCACCGGAAGTAGGTGGACCAAAGCAACAGAGAAATAATTATTGAATTTTTGCTATGAGAGCGTGGCATGCATGATGTGAAACTTACAACCACTAGTTGCCCACTGCATGAGAACTTTCTGTGCTATCTTGCACTACCGTTGTAGTCCTTGCGGATTGTTGTTGTTGAGCAGTTCTTCTTTCTCGGCATGGTGGGCTGTTGTTCAGCAAGTTACGCTTCGTGGCGGCTTCATTCGAGTTTCTGCGAGGGCAGGCAGTATTGCCATGATGTATCAGTACTGGCAGAGTAGTGAAAAGATATAATGGAAACGATCTGTGTGTGCTTTCGTGCTACGAGGTTGGATTCAGCTACTGCGTGGCCGTTGTTCGAAATTTGATTTCCCCAGGTGATTTTTAGTGGATAACGCTATTCAAGACCACTTGTTGGCGCTTGGAGACATGTTATAGCAGTCTATGGTGGTGGCCTACCCCCAATTGCAGGGCATAACCTCGCCACAACTTTCGTGATAGCCGCCGTTGGACAGGTAGAATTTATCAATTCGTTGGAGAGACTCAGCAACTCGCCTGTCGAAAGTTGGATGGCTTAACATTAATAGGTAACTTGGATCGGTGTACAACTGTTGAAAATCGGATTTCAGACTTTACTTCCCCTTTAAGAGTAAGGCCTATCCATAACGAGTTTTAACTAAAAGTATGCAAAGGTAACCGGGACTGGCTCAACCTTTGTCGATACTTCTCGATGATGATGTATCCTGTTTTGTTTGCTTTCCTTCTGAAGCTCAAGATCCATGCACGACTGGTCGGCAGTGCACTACAGACTGCATGTCTCAAAAGAAATTGTGCAACACTGGTAATACTTCGCACCCATGCGTCGTGGTAACACAATGTGATGACCTGTCCCACCTGCCGCCAAATCTGAACAACACCTGTAATGCTAGACACGGGCCTGCAACAATCACATCCACCTCGACCACCACAACTATGACACAAACATCAGCAACTACCACCAGGAGCATGGGTGGTGATTCATCTGATATACCGACCAGTCATCAGATCATAACCATTATCAATGGAACCGGACATAATGTCATCCCATCTGCAGTCCCGTCAGCGCCACGATCTGCGGCGTCTAACCCTCCATCTACCTCAAGCAACATGGTTACAGCGCAGAATGAAATGTTAACCACTGATTCCGGCAATGTACAAGGGACAGGTATGCAGCACAAGCACGCAACAACTGTTGGTGGTACACTGCCAGGTGGCGATGACAACTCACCTACAGTTCATACCAATTTTTCAGCTGTACAAACATCGTCCGATATCTCTCAGTTCCAATCTTCTTCTATCATGGCCTGGGTACCTAAACAACGTACTATTCAATCTCAGTTGCAAAGGAGTGAAAACACAGTGTCCGCAACTGCAACTACACATTCTGCAAATGCTGTGATGACAACATCCAGAGTAAACTCGGCAGTAGCTGATACCACCACAACCGCAACAAATAGGGCATCAAATAATTATGGTTTCTGATACGCCACATATTCACGCCACAAGCAACCAGGGCAGTCCTGGCTCTGAGCCTGTTTTACCGGATACTGACAAGACAAGCAGCACAGTACAACCAGCAACAGTGAAATCCTCGGAGGCCCCCACGACAGCATCGTCAAGTGTAGTGCTGGGCATGGCTGCTGGAATGGGAGCTCTGATCTTGCTACTTCTGTTAGTATTGCTTGTTGTGCTGCTGAAGCGCAGAGCTAAGATTGGGTCATTCACTCTACTGCGTCGTACACGTATATCGGTGTCTCTCACAATGATGAACAGTGCCTTCCAACACATATCTACTCAAGAGGAAGATCATGAACTATGGCAGGGTGGCTCGATGATGAATGTCTACGAGACATCGACCACACTGGGAAATCCCCGCTCCTCACTGGCATCACGTACATCTGGTTCCGAGTTCAATGCTGATATTGATCAAGATGAGGCAGACGCTTATCTCAGGACCGCCGATGAGCTGAACATGTCCCGGAGACTTTCCACAGATACGACCGTCACGCTAATGTCTGTTCACACACAGAGCAGTGAAACAAACCTATCAGAGTATAATGCCGCTGCCGAGTCCCCGAGCACTTCAGCGTCGAGTGATGCACATCTTCCGACAAAAGGAGGAGTTGACGGACGGAATTTCCAACCCTCAGCAAAGCCTGCCAAGCGTACTCTACTGGGTCGAAAAGCATCAGTAGCACCTAGCGTTCCCATGGATCTGACAGAAGAGATATACACATCACCAACACGCACACCTCTGGCCGCGTCCCGGGACGAATCATCACTGGATATTTCACTCAACACGCGATCAAAGTCAGGTCTTGCCAGCGACACATACGCCCTGCCTGTGGACGTCATTGCTAGTCACACAGCCTCAAGGCTGTGTTCCAGTACCACAAAAATCACGGACACATCTGCTGATCTGCACACGGTACACATACACACCGATGATGACTATTGCACGCCCAAAGATGCTATTCACAAAGTCAAGAAGTTTTTGGAAACCGAATCTATTGACGTCACAGGCAGGCATGATTCGGCTGAACAAGCTGCAGGTGGAACCGCTGGTACACGGACGTCCGCGAATGATGACAAGACGAACACGAGCTTGACTGCTCTTGCACAATCACAACCCACTGTGCCTTTGCAGCAGGGATCTTTAGGGAACGATTACCTGGAAGGCACCAAACACAGAAGTTTTGACCGGGAACTGGAGTTCCTAACAGATCGATTGCAAAGTGAAGCGGCCTCTTGGGACTCGGTAACTGGCAATCAAGGACTGCTGAAATCGGATCACGTGCCAAGTCTTGTGACCGTCCAAGAGGATCCAATCAAGTTCAGGCCGGTATCTGCATCTGACACTACTCTATGTCAAACACCAACCGCTGGGACACATTCTACAGCTACAGACGTTGTTTCCACGACCAAGGCAAATCCCGCCCTTGCTGGACAAACAGCCACTTCGGACGAGTGTTATGCAAGCCCTGCCGATGCTGTTAGGCACTTGGCCACTGACGTGTATGCTGAGGAAACCTACCAGCTGCCAAATGATGCTGTGAGGAGCGTCATTGGAAACACGTGCAAAGATGACGCCGCCGCTACACCACGTGAGCTGACACAGCTTAGACGCTCAGAGAGCAGGCCAACATCTATTGCTCTCTCAGGCGCTTCAGGAGCTCAACAAGGTGTCTTGCTGGTAGAGGAAGATACCTACATCATGCCGGCCGATTCCATCAAGCCGGGCACGGTGAGACACACAGCACAAAGCGGCATAACACCAACAACTGACAGTGACATGGTGACACACCAAGCAACAACAAGTACAGTATCGACTACTGACCCTGGAGCAGACATTGCAGACGCCTATCAACTGCCAGCAGATATCAAGCTAGAGCAAGCAGCAGCCGGCAGGACTGACAAGGCTGGCATGGATCCAGCTGACACCTATGCAATGCCAGCAGATGCAATAGGCGTGCGGAGTACACCTAAAGCAGAGGCACAGATCGTGGCTCCATCGACGATAGCAGCTCATAACCCAACTGATCCCACTCCCAGGCGAGAAGTCTACGCCCAAGTCCAACCCAAGAGTCAACGGATGCGAGAAACAGGGGATTCCAATGTGTCCTCGCATAGCAGTGGTGCAGGGGAACCCACCACTGCCACGTCATCAGTAGCAGGTGACGCGCCGCCCACCATTCCACCTAGGTACAGGAAGACATCATGGCACGGAGAACAAGCCGATATCGACATTGGCAACCAACAATACAAGAGCAGCAAATGGTCGAACATGTTTTCGCACGTCAAGCGCAAGATCTCAGCTGGGCGTGAACGGAGAACTGAAATGAAACAGCCAGGTAGCCCCAGAACCAGCAGGCCACTACCATCGCCACTGCCTGAAGAAGTCGCTCCAGGAAACCTGATACAGAAGACTGACGATTCCAATGCACTGGCAGAAGAACCACAATACATGCTGTGTGGACCACAACTGATCTCGCAACTATCCATGCCCTCCGACACTACGTCGCTATCTAAAATGGCGGCAGCGTTGCCTTCCCTCCCACGGCGTAACACTGCTCCACCAGCACCCGAGGATGTACTGGGTCCAATCTATTCCCTAGCAACGACCAGCACTCTGTCAGGCCAAGCCGCAACAGCTGAGAAAGCCTATGACAACGCCAGTACCAGCAGTTCAATCACACACGTGCACACATTCGAAAGCGACCTCGACCAGGAAATGTACGCAGAGCTGCAAGTTCAAGATACACCACAGCGGCTCTTGCCGGCAACGGACAATACTTCACAGATCGACACCGCCATGCTACAGAATACCTCCAACATGAACCCAGACTGCAGGTCAGAGGTCTATGCAGAGATCGGAGTAGCCAAAATCGACAAAAAATCAACGCCAAACACCGATTCTTGTTACGCAGCGCCCGTCGATGCTATGGTGGCTGCATGTGCGAGCCATGGCACTCGTGGACAAGACAAAACATACGCAGCTCCCATCGATGCCGTAACATCTGCTTGTGAGAGCGATAGCACTCGTGGACAAGACGAAACATACGCAGCTCCCATCGATGCCATAACATCTGCTTGTGAGAGCGATAGCACTCGTGGACAAGACGAAACATACGCAACTCCCATCGATGCCGTAACATCTGCTTGGGAGAGCGATGGCACTCGTGGACAAGACGAAACATACACAGCTCCCATCGATACAGTACCATCTGCTTGTAAGAGCGATGGCACTCGTGGACAAGACGAAACATACGCAGCTCCCGTCGATGCCAAAATGTCTGCGTATGAGAGCGATAGCACTCGTGGACAAGACGAAACATTCGCAACTCCCGTTGATGCCATAAAATCTGCTAGTGAGAGCAATAGCACTCGTAGACAAGACGAAACGTACGCAGCTCCCGTTGATGCTCTAACATCTGCGTATGAGAGCGATAGCACTCGTGGACAAGATGAAACATACGCAGCTCCCGTCGATGCCGTAACGTCTGCTTGTAAGAGCGATAGCACTCGTGGACAAGAGGAAACATACGCAACTCCCATTGATGCCATAACATCTGCTAGTGAGAGCAATAGCACTCGTAGACAAGACGAAACGTACGCAGCTCCCATTGATGCTCTAACATCTGCGTATGAGAGCGATGGCACTCGTGGACAAGATGAAACATACGCAGCTCCCGTCGATGCCGTAACGTCTGCTTGTAAGAGCGATTGCACTCGTGGACAAGAGGAAACATACGCAACGCCGCTCGACTCACTGAATGTTGTGAAGAAAGGCACACCGCTCGAGAGCAAGGATACAGCGCACGCACATGCTGCCAACAACCTGAAATTGGCCCAAATATCACCCAGTTCCACTGCTGATACTGCAGGCAAAGCAGAAACTGGCTCCAGTTCATTGGGTGTGTATGACGTTCCAGTCGATGCGATCACCAGCACATAGCCTGATGACAAGACCACGTCGCTGCAGTATCCCGTACAGCAGGAGACAGCTAGCACTGCAGACACGTACCAGGTTCCTGTGGATGTGAAACAACAGACTGCAGCAGCATCTGTAAACGCCCATCACAACGATCAACGTCCCGAGTCCCCAGTGGTGCAGACGTGTTGCGACCATGGCGATCATGCAGACACTCCGGCCGCTGACAGCAATGTATGCGCCGAGGTGATGCCTAGGGGAAAGCAAAGCAGAAGTGTCACGGAGTGAACAATGACCCAGATGGTATCTACGTCAACCAATCACTTGGCTCCACACCCCCACACACTGCGGGCTTTGAGAGAGCTGTATGCGATGAAGAACAGCGGCAGCGTAACAAGGAATATGAATAGTGATGAAGTACCCACAGTCTTGGACACAAGTAGTCTCGGGCGTCGGGCTTTGGCCTGAATATTTCACTTTGGTGACAAGCTACTGGCGTTTAATAGAGTACACCATTTTGTCACAGATATTGCAGACTTGGATATCACAACAATGCCCAGTTGAATTATTCCTGTGTACCATGATGCTCAATATCGCCAGGGTGCAGAGCTGCCTTACACAATTATTTTGCCCTTTGATCGCACGAGCATGAAACTTGAGTTGCAAAGAAACATTGTCCCACCATTTTGATAACATAATACATAATTTTTTTTACAAAGAATCATTCATAGATCGCAATTTTTACATCACATTGCCTTTTCATGATTCACTTGGACATTTCCTACAGAATCTAAGGGCTTTAAAAATGTGAATTTATATGTCCTTGATACAATTCCTATGCATTCATTGTGTTCATGCATTCATTCTCTTTTTCGTCTCGTTATGCTGTATTGGGCAGAAGCATGTACAATAGATTTGTGCTTTAGACTCGATTGGAGAGAGCCAATGTCTGAAATGACCAAACATCATTGGACATGGCCACATTACCAATTCCGTCCAATAGGGGCACAGCTGGTCCCCATTTCAGGGTGGTGCACGGCTGTAGTTCACTGGCTGTAGTTGTACTATCATAGTACGTGTACCGTAAAGTCCGGAGCAAACGCCCACTTCGCAGCAAACGCCCACCCCAGCGGGTCCATACTATTTTCGTCTTTTTCAGGTCAATATAGTTGTAAACAACTGACATGAAGGTCGAATGCGTACGAGAACGACTGTAATGCCTACAAACTGCCTATGTCCTACCAGGAGGCTGTGCAAAAGCGATTGTCATTATCTTCCTGCAAAGAAATAACTTCTGTCGAGATTTCCTTTCATTCAATAAATGTGGTAGTTCGTTCTCCATGTGGTACGAGTAATGCCGCATAAATTTGTGCAGTGCCACGATATCGCGCTGTCAGGAACAATAATTGTTCTGATGAAGCGTCAGTCAACGGCTTGACTGGTCCCAATATTGCAGTTGCAAGTCGAACAGGGTATGTAACAGAAGCTACACCTACAGCGTCGCTGCTAACTTGTTGAAAACTCCGAAGTGCCCAAGAAAAACATTTGCCTTTGGGCGCTGTGTTATCTCGAAATGACGGCTTGAAACACCGTCAGAAGTGTATTTGGTTCCTTCAATACTCTGTTCTTCGGTACCTTGTTATTCGGAAGAAAACCCGTTCGGATTTGCGAAATAAAACAACCATCATTATAAAATCACTACGAGCTAGCTAGCTCGTGGCTATAGCGCTAGTGCACAAAGAGATTTTGAAACCAGGAAAGTGGACATAGTTTACCGTAGCAAAATGCTCTTCCTGCTACGGTGTGAGATGCACTTTCGTACAGTAGGGGTGACAGTGCATGGGGTCAGTGTGTACAGGCCAGCAGATCTTGCAAAAATGGGGTGGGCGTTTGCTCCGGACTTTACGGTAGTATGTGTAGGATGCCTGGTGCACGTCATCATGGACATGGTCATTATGTGCATACTGAACCTAGGTCGAAACTATAATATTATGGGGGGTACACATGCCCCCCCCCCCCTGCCCCATTCGAGCTACGCGCCTGGACCAAAGTTGGCACCTTCTTTTCCCTGGGTGCCCCCCCCCCCCCCCCGTGACAGGTGCTTCGAGATACCCTCTGTTCCTGGGACGTTGGGCAAATTCACAATTTCGACAAAAAATTATACTGAAGAACGGTACTGAACGATGAGTCACAGTTTCCCGCAACTAAACAACGCATCGGACCCAAACCAACTAAGTGTGCACAACGAGGCAAGTTACCTTGTAAAGTTTACTGCCATCAAACTCGGTGACCGGCGACTTGCTGAGTCCCTCCAATGAATCGATCAGTTGTCCATGCGGCCACTCCGCCGACAATATTCAAGGACCACTAGCAGCAAGCGCATCTCCTGAAATGTCGGTAGATCAGCACCATAGTCTGCTACAATATGCCCCCAAGCGCCAACAAAGTGGTATTGAATACTATTTATAGCCATCCACTACAAAATTAGTAAACATCACTTGGGGAAAAATTCCACTTGGTCTTTTGAACCCTGCAAAATAAATTCACTGACCATGTCATGCACCCTCATAATCCAACCGGGTGGCAGGAAGCTCACAAGGAGCGCCGCCACGTGCCTTTAGCTACCAACATTGGTACAGAATTGACTACTCCTGTGCTCGCAGGAAACTACTTGAAGAAAGCCATCAGTACCAAAAAGCGCCACTTGCTGGACAGCAGCGCAACATGTCCAGGAAGATATCCAGGTGCACAGACAGTGCACTACGAATGAAGGAGTGCACACTGCACTGTAGTCTGTACATGTATCCCCTAGAAATTTCTCACGTAGAATCTAGTACTCTAGTACACTGTACTGTCGTAGTACTGGGCATGGCAGGTAAAACCAGTCATGTAGATGATTCACGTGACTTTCACACGCTGATCATAGTCTCGACCGTGGTCATATCGAGACAGATCAGTTATGATCTACAATGTAGACCTATACCCCTGACCCTAACCCTAGGCCTACATGTAGGCTGAGGCTTGGGCCTACTGAGTAGTCCTGTACTGGCCCTTGAGGATTTCAAGTACATGTATTCGAAAACTACAAAGTGCTGTGGTTCTATCGCTATAGTTGTGCGAAGTAGCTCATAATCATATGGCTATCGTTAATTTTTTAAATCACTTTGGCGTCGACTGATATGACCGTGAAAAATACATCTGGCGAAATACACCCATGCATTGCCATAAATAATTACGATACACACAGGCCTGCCCAGTGCCCCCCCCCCCCCCCCACACACACACAGGCCTGCCCAGAGCCCCCCCCCCCCCCCCCACACACACGTACACGCTCTATTATAAGCTGCGAAGTAGTTACACCATGGCCCAGAGGCTCTCCTTCTCACCACCATCATTTCGCCAGGTATGTTTTTACCACCGTATGAGTTGACCATAATTACAACTGTAGTGGATTCTTCATCCCCCCCCCGCGGCGTCGCAAGTGCATGTACATGTACAAGTACATGACTATTGTCGTTGGTGCTACTTTATCCCTGGCTATCAATCCTAGTCCGATTAGACGGAAGTTTCGAATTCCCTTACCAAACTAATTTTGACGAGTGTAGCATCTCATGATCTGGACGAAACGACATGCATTGCCAGCTAGCTGTTCATGCCCAGTGCCCACTCGTACATGTACAAGTACTCCTTTCTTATTTTCGCACTATTTCGCACTATTTTCGGACTTTTTTGGCGACCTTTCTCAGGCTTTCTGCTGCCATCCAGATCGTTTCGTGTGAATTGTTCATACAAAGCTGTTTACTTTAGCCATCTTCTTCTTTGCGCTGTTTTACCACCTTCTTACTGTATTTAATCCACTGTTCCTGTTCCTTTTCCCTTGCCTGTATTTCATCTGACGAGAAGGCTTGAAAGTATACTTGTGAAGACAAAAACTTTCAAGATGTTTGTAATGAGCCTGAAGTGTGTCCTTTTATGAGTATTATCGCATTTTTGTCTCAGAGGAAATTGTTTACAAAGTTGAAACAGATGGATATTGAAAGAATTAACTTCCGAAAACCTCCCTCAACGGAAATCTTCACGAGCTTCGGGCATGTTCGAAAACGTTCCAGCATGCAGTGCCAGTGGGCTAAATCAGACAAAAAAAAAGAAAAAGGCCCAACCCTTCCCTGCCAGTTATTTGAACTGGGGGTCGCCATGGCAAATAATAAAAAATAAAACTGGTACAGTGTATGTACGCAAAAACGTCTTCTGCGCAGGTTCTCGCGCATCCTACGTTCGAGAAAAGGGGTATACGTCTCGTAGGGGGTAGGACTTAAGGTGGCAGACTACCCAAAAATTCGCTGAAAATCGAATTTGTAAATTCATATTGAGTGCTACGTCAGTTGAAAGAGCATGAATAGCTGCAAATTCTCTGAAAATTGTGTCCCGATCTGACCAGCCGTTCAAGAGTTATGGCCGAAAATGTGCCCTTGCAAGGAAAGATTTTTTTGTTCCACGCTGTCATTTGTTGGCAGCACTGTATTTGAATGTGACCAGATCGTGCGCAACTTGTCGTATCATGGAAACACGCGAAAGTGTGCAGAATTTTGCTCAAAGTCCAAAAAGTTTCAAAAAATCACGTTAAAAAACCACGTACATGTATACAGCCACGTGTGTGGTGCCACACGATTTCATTATGTGCAGAACAGCGGCCGGTACAGAGATAGAGACAGACACTGAAAGACAGAGACAGAAACAGAAGGATGCGCATAAAGAGCGACAGGCAGAGACACGGACTCAGAGAGAAAGAGACAGAGGCAAAGACAGACAAAGACGAACAGACAGACGATCAGACCCAGAAAGACGGAGACAGAAAGAGAGGAACAAACATTAAGAAAAAACAGGAGAGACAGACAGACACACAGACTCAGGAGAAAAACAGACAGAGACAGGCAATCAGACACAGAAAGACAAAAACAGAGACAGAAACATAGGGACACACATAATGACAAAAGGAGAGACAGACACAAAGACAGAGAGACAGA